GCTGACGTCGTAGCCTTGTTGGAACAGGGTGGCCGTCCACCAACCATCCACTACTCCATCCATCTGGACCATCCAGGGTTGCACGGCACTCATCAGTGAACAGGACTGTTTGAAAATGAGTCTTCATGTATTCTTCTGCCCAATGCAGCCGTTTCTGCTTGTGAGCATTGGTTAGTGGTGGCCGAATAGAAGGTTTCTGCACAGTTGCAGGACTCTGGAGGACTCTACACCTTGATGTCCGTGGGACTCCAGAGGCACCAGCAGCTTCAAATATATGTTTGCTGCTATGTAATGGGATTTTAGCAGCTGCTCTCTTGATCCGATGCATGGATCTGGCAGAAATCTTCCTCAATGTGCCTTTATCTGCACCAACCCGTCTGTGCTCTGAATCCGCCACAAATCTCTTCATAGTGCGATGATCACGCTGACGTTTTCCTGAAATATCGAATGTTTTCATACCTCGTCCAAGGCATCGAACTATTTCACTCTTTTCGGCAGCAGAGAGATCCTTTTTCTTCCCCATATTGCTTGAAAATGGCGCTCTGCTTAATAATGTGGAACGCCGTCCTTTAGTAGTTTTTCCTTCAATTGAGCTCACCGGCCAATCTAATTATCACAGGTGTCCCAGATTGTTTTCAGTGATCAAAAGAGCCCTGACACACAATGCCATCCATGAGTTACACTGAGAAACAAAAGATTTCATCTTTGTGACACTTAAATAGAATTTGCAGAATAATTTGGAACAGGGTGTATAGACTTCCTGTTGACGTTCCTCTGGATGGTGGTCTGCCACCAGAAGCATTTTTTGGAGATGGGAGAGCGTGCAATTATTTAGTCTACAGACAGCCATAGATGGATCGAATCTCAGCCAGTTCAGGAGGGACTGGCTGAGATTCCTTGTCTATGGGCAGGCTGATTGTTCTGAAGGTGATCCGATGGTCAACTTCAGTACAACCAGCTCGGCGTTTTTTTTTTTCTTTCAATTACTGCCGGCGGCTATAGCCATTAGCAGTGATCATTGTGTTCTGCCGGCAGGGAAGGGCTCCACGCTAGCAGAATACAATAGTTCTGCGGGAGGAATTCCCCTATCAACAGTGGCACCACCCCCACCTTGTCTCAACAGTTGGCAGCAATGAGAAGGACAGAACTCCTCCACTAAATCCTGTGCTTCTCTGTGCAGCCGCGGAGAGATTAGTCTCTGTCCCTAACCATCTCAGCAGTCAGTAGCTGAAAGGAGAACAGGACGCCTCTCTGTGCAGCTGTAGCACCGCTCACCACCTTCCCCTGGGCCCAGCATTCAGCATCTCCAGCCCTCCTCTGGTCCTCCTTCAGACCCTGCACTTTCTGCTTCCATGCTCTGCCCCCAGCTTCTTCCCAGCAGCAGCACAAGGTTAATGGGGGTGCATTGTGATTTAAGGGAGGGTGGGAAACTCTTCACTTCTGATGGTGGGGGGGGGCTCTTGACATCTGATGGTGGGGGTGGGGGGGGGCAGTGGTGTATTTAGGTTTTGTGCTGCCCTAGGCAACACAAAAATCGTCTTCCCACAAGGACACTGACCAACACAACCCCCCCCCTTCCCCCTACCGCGGACAGAGCCTGACATTGACCAACAACACCCCTGCCCCCTCACCCGGGACAGCCTTCCACTACCCCCCTTCAGCAATAGAGAGACACTCATCTTCACAGCTTCGGACATCAGGGTCTATATACACCATCAAGCTGCCTCTCTCAGATCCCACCTGGTTCCCATGGTGCACAAGTCCCTTCTTTTATCCCTTCTTCTGGGGGGAGGTGCTGCCCCCTTGAATAATGCCACCCTAGGCAAGTGCCTTGTTTGCCTTGTGTTAAATACACCCCTGTCGGCACCTCCCGCACTGAATGTGTGAAATGGCAAGGTGTGCTGGAGGCTGGCTGCTGGGGGATCTATTGTTACTGATGGGAATCTATTTTTGCATCGGGGTCTATTGTTGATGGGGTGTCTTATGTTGCAGGGGGGGGTCAGTTGTCCCTGAGAGGGATTTCTTGTTGAGGGAGGAGTCTATCGTTGCTGGGGGCTCAGTTGTCGTTGGGAGGGATCTTTGTTAAGGAAGGAGTCTATTGTTGCCGGAGGGGGGTCAGTTGTTGCTGGGAGGGATCTCTTGTTGAGCGAGGAGTCTATTGTTGCTGGTGGGTCAATTGTCGCTGGGAGGGATCTCTTGTTGAGGGAGGAGTCTATTGTTGCCGGAGGGGGCAGTTGTCGCTGGGAGGGATCTCTTGTTGAGGGAGGAGTCTATTGTTGCTGGGGGGTCAGTTGTCGCTGGGAGGGATCTCTTGTTGAGCGAGGTGTCTATTGTTGCTTGTGGGTCAGTTGTCGCTGGGAGGGATCTCTTGTTGAGGGAGGAGTCTATTGTTGCTGGGGGGTTAGTTGTCGTTGGGAGGGATCTCTTATTGAGGGAGGAGTCTATTGTTGCTGGGGGGGTCAGTTGTCGTTGGGAGGGATCTCTTGTTGAGGGAGGAGTCTATTGTTGCTGGGGGGTCAGTTGTCGCTGGGAGGGATCTCTTGATGAGGGAGGAGTCTATTGTTGCTGGGGGGTCAGTTGTCGCTGGGAGGGATCTCTTGTTGAGGGAGGAGTCTATTGTTGCCGGCTGCTCGGAGATCTGTTGTTGCTGCTGGGGGGTCTATAGTTACTGGGGTGGTATTTGGTTGTGTGGGGTCCATTGTTGCTGGGGGGACTATTGTTGTGCAGGGGTCTCAATTGTTGCTGGCTGCAGGGGATCTACTGTATTTTACTGCTTTTCTTGTTATCATTAACACATTACATACAAATTACTCAGCACCACAAAATGATACTTGGTTCAGTATTCCTCTAAAAGGAGCGGTACTGGGAGGTGGGTTTGGGGGGGGGGGGGGGGGGGGGGTAGAGTAGAGCCAAGGGACGGTGCTTGGAGGTGGGTAAGAGGCGGAGACAAGGAGTGACTCAAAAGGTGGGTAGTTCTTGTACCTAGTCTCTGACAATAAATAGCCCTGTTTTTTCCCTTTATACCACCAAAGGAAAGCTCTATTTGTGTGAAAAAAATGATATATATTTCATTTGGGTACAGCGTTGCATGACTGCCCAATTGCCAGTTAAAGTGGCGAAGTGCCGAATATCAAAAAAAAAAAAAAAGACCTGGTCATGAAGGGGGTAAAACCTTCTGGAGCTGAAATGGTTAACTGAAAAAAATGGAAATGAGTATCCTGGACACTATCATTCCAGGTACTAGTGGCCAGAATACAATATTTTCCCGCTTAAGTGGGACTTTTTATTTTCTTTTCCTGACTTTTATCTATGAGGTCAAAATAATGATGATGTTGCCTTTTTGCTGTAGACTGCGAGCGGTCCAATCCAAACCCAAACCAGAATGCTTCGGAGTCGCACCAGAGGAAGCAAAAATGTTTTCCCTCTTTCACAAAGAAAATGTTCTCCACCCTGGAGCCAGAATGCCTGGAATGTAAGGGGGTCCTGAGATGCTACTGCGACAATATTAAAAAGGGGCGAAAGAAGCCGTATGCGTGTCAGGACTGCAGGAAGGCCTACTGCTTCCAAGTAAATCTCCTTTTACACCACAAGTCCCACTTCAGAGTAGGCCTCTACATGTGCAATCTGTGCCAAAAAAGCTTTAATAAACACGAGGTTCTACAGAGACACCTGAAAACCCACCCGAAACCATCAAACTCCAATTAAATTGCGAGGCAAATGAGGAACCCTATTGGCTTCCTAACACGATTCGCAGGCAGATCCGCAGAAATGGCCGCAGTAAACTTGTGGTCGACCACCTATTGCTCCCCAGGTGAAGACCCCACTTTCAGAACCCCAATGAAGAGGGAGTATGTTTTTGGCCCCCGAAACTTGTTGGCTTTAGTCTGCTATGAATAAATTTTATCATTACCTTAGACTTTTGGGATGTTTGTTTGGTGCTCTCATTGGATTGTATGCCCTGGGTTTCTGGCAGGATCAACAGGTATTTTTTTTTTTTTGCACAGGACACAAGAAAGAAAGAAAAGGCATGAACACCCAATGGGCTACCTCTACAAAATGAACTTCTTGAATAAAATACAGTATGACATGCATCGCGGGTACATGGAGCCACCTTTCACCTGATGGCCAAGCCCAGATGTCCTCAACGTCCCCTACCCTAAACCACACCACCAGAGCCCATCTACCCCCCGCCCTATTAAAAAGTCGCAACCCCTCCCAAACCCAACAATCTCTCCCCGCCCCCCTCCTAGACAACCCTCAAGCCCTCCCACCCTCACCCAGGAAACGGGAAGCCCACTCACCCTCAATGAAAGATCCCACCCCAGAGATGAAGGAAAGATGGTGAAATCCCTCCAAACCCCACAAATGACCACCCTTGATGGCAAGGAGCCGACCAGGACCGATCCTAGTGCCTGCTGCTCATAAGTTGCCAGGGACTAAATACTAGGTAGGGATTCTGTGTGTCTCCCCAGCCCTCATGCATAACACAACTCATCCTGAAAGTCTACCTCCAAGAACCAGCCCTCCATGCTAAATCACCAAAAGGATGGTATATAATATGCATAAGCTGCTAAAATGCAATGTGTGTATATATATGGACCAATATAAGCAAGACATACATGATATTGTCCAGAGTATTGGACCCCCCTCCAAATCATGTGATTCAGGTGTTCCAATCCCCTCCAAATCATGTGATTCAGGTGTTCCAATCCCCTCCAAATCATGTGATTCAGGTGTTCCAATCCCCTCCCAATCATGTGATTCAGGTGTTCCAATCCCCTCCAAATCATGTGATTCAGGTGTTCCAATCCCCTCCCAATCATGTGATTCAGGTGTTCCAATCCCCTCCAAATCATGTGATTCAGGTGTTCAAATCCCCTCCATATCATGTGATTCAGGTGTTCCAATCCCCTCCAAATCATGTGATTCAGGTGTTCCAATCCCCTCCCAATCATGTGATTCAGGTGTTCCAATCCCCTCCCAATCATGTGATTCAGGTGTTCAAATCCCCTCCATATCATGTGATTCAGGTGTTCCAATCCCCTCCAAATCATGTGATTCAGGTGTTCCAATCCCCTCCCAATCATGTGATTCAGGTGTTCCAATCCCCTCCCAATCATGTGATTCAGGTGTTCAAATCCCCTCCCAATCATGTGATTCAGGTGTTCCAATCCCCTCCATGGACACAGGTGTATACAATCAAGCCCCTAGGCATGCAGACGGCTTCTATAAACATTGGTGAAAGAATGGGTCGCTCTCAGGAGCTCAGTGACTCCAAGCGTGGCCCCGTGATAGGTGGCCACCTGGGCAATAAGTCCATCCGTGACATTTCCTGGCTACTAAATATTCCACGCTCAACTGTTAGTGGGATTATAACAAAGTGGAAGCCACTGGGAACAACAGCCACTCAGCCACCAAGTGGTAGGCCACGTCACATGACAGGACGGGGTCAGCGCAGGCTGAAGCGCACAGTGCTCAGAAGTCGCCAACTGTCTGCACAGTCAATAGCTAAAGACCTCCAAACTTGGTGTGGCCTTCAGATGAGCCCAACAACAGTGCGTAGAGAGCTTCATGGAATGGGTTTCCATGGCCGAGCAGCTGCATCCAAGCCTTCCATCACCAAGTGCAATGCAAAGCGTCGGATGCCGTGGTGTAAAGCACGCCGCCACTGGACTCTAGAGCGAGGAGACGTGTTCTCTGGAGTGACCAATCACGCTTCTCTGTCTGGCAATCCGATGGACGTGTCTTTGTTTGGCAGTTGCCAGGAGAACGGTGCCTGCCTGACTGCATTGTGCCAAGTGTAAAGTTTGGTGAAGGGGGATTATAGTGTGGGATTGTTTTTCAGGGGTAGGGCTTGGCCTCCTAGTTCCAGTGAAGGGAGCTCTTAAGGCGTCAGCATACCAAGACATTTTGGACAATTTCATGCTCCCAACTTTGTGGGAAGAGTTTGGGGATGGCCCCTTCCTGTTCCAACACGACTGCACAATGTATCAGAATACAATAGTCCAAAACTTTTGAAGAACATGAATTTTTTTTACATTTTTTTTATTGGATATGTTTTATAACAGTAAAAAATATTTTTTTTTTTTTTATTTTTTGCATTTTTTCATTTATATAGTAAAAAAAAAAAAAAAAAAAACCCCAGCAGTGATCAAATGCCACCAAAAGAAAAAAAAATTATATCAATTTCATTTGGGTACAGTGTTACATGACCGCGCAATTGTCAGTTAAAGTAGCAAAAAAATGGACTTCCGGAGCGCAAGTCTTAAAGGAACACTCATGCATTATTTTTTTTATAAATGTTGTTGTCGTTCCTTTTCGTTGCTGCGTATGTCCTTTTATTTACACCTAAGTGCATGCATGGTGCTTCCTTTCCTGCTGTGTTGAAGAACCTGAGCCTTGGAAGGGTAGAAAGCTCTGTGTGAACATACATACTGCAAGCCTGGTGTAAGGCCCCTGACTGCCAATTGCAGGGCACATTACTTCCCACCTGACGGCGCTGCCATTTTCCTCCTCGTTGGGCATTAATAAGGCCCTTTGGCGTTCGGCTTTAATATAGAGACTGGGGCTGTGCTGCAGCTTTGTGCTCTAATGCTCTGATTCTCTGCTGCGTGCTGCCATCTTCCCAATGCAGAGATCGCCTGCCTACTTCACATATGTTGTTCAGCTCTGCCCATTCTGACCTTGCATGAGCTCATCTTGATGTAATTAAAGTCCTATGATAACTGGAACTGCCGGTATTTAAATAAATGGTGTATCCAAATTATGGGTATATCAGGTAGTAATATAGTGGCAAAATGTCCAGTGATGACAAGTCCAAAACAATATCGGTAGCAGATGTAGCAGCTATAATATCCCAGTGTGAGCAAATCGTAATCCGGTGAAGGGTGACAAAAATGGTAAGAATGCGCACTCACCGGAAGCGCAATCTTAATGCGCATTGGTCAGATATGGAGGTCTCCTTAAATGGTAAGAATGCGCACTCACCAGAAGCGCAATCTTAATGTGCATTGGTCAGATATGGAGGTCTCCTTATAGGTATAGCCTGGTGTAGAATCTCCTCCTCTGTGTATGGGTTTAGAGATGTCACTCAGAGGGGTCTGATCAAAGGCTTCCCTCCCTAGATCCGGACAGGTCACCTGGGGTCCACAGTCATGTTTCAATCCTTCCTCCCTGGAGAAGACGCGGTATAGTTCTGTAAGCATTGTCTTCTGTTATGGCGCAGTAAGTGTATGTTCCCGTAGAGTGGGAGAGGAGATAAATCGGATGTGTATTGGTATCAGGAACAGAGTGGTGACCCAGGTGAAGGGTGGAGATGATGGGGCAATGTCTGCAGAGTCTGGCTCCAGTTGTGGACTGAACACCGCTACACCGTCACTGCTGACGGTGACCCCCTGAGCTCCCTCAGCACCGCATAGGACGGACACACTCACCGACTAGAAGCAGCACATTTCGGGCAAGCACTGAAGAGAGCAGGATGGTGCCGAGCAGGCAGGAGAGAAGACATGTGGAGGCTCCATGGTGTTCGTACTTCCCTCCCTCTACCTCCATTGATCACTCCCCACTGTCATATGACCTGCCAACGCGGACACTCCTCTAGACCGGGCGGCTGGAGCGGCGACGTGACTGTGGACCCCAGGTGACCTGTCTGGATCTAGGGAGGGAAGCCTTTGACCAGACCCCTCTGAGTGACATCTCTTAACCCATACACAGAGGAGGAGATTCTACACCAGGCTATACCTATAAGGAGATCTCCATATCTGACCAATGCGCATTAAGATTGCGCTTCCGGTGAGTGCGCATTCTTACCATTTTCACCGGATTACGATTTGCTCACACTGGGATATTATAGCTGCTACATCTGCTACCGATATTGTTTTGGACTTGTCATCACTGGACATTTTGCCACTCTATTACTACCTGATACACCCATAATTTGGATACACCGTTTATTTAAATACCGGCAGTTCCAGTTATCATAGGACTTTAATTGCTATTCAGGTTGTTTACTTTAGCGCTGCACTGTGTTTCTTCTATCATTTCTGGAAAGGTCTGTGGTTCCTTTTTGGTGCTAAAGCTGCTAACTGTAAGCGCTCGCTAAGTCTTTTCCTTTACATCCTCATCTTGATGTATGTAGACAAGTTCATGACACTCAGGGGTCTAATCAAAAAATTTGATTCAGAGCATCAGGTGAAGCCAACGCGTTTCAGGGGAAATGCCTCCCCTTCCTCAGGGCCGAAGCTGTAGATATTGTAAGGCTTGCTCTAGTATGCAAATAAGGGGAGTTATTGATATCCCAATGCACCTCGATACTGTGGTGATTCACCTTCCCCACCACGGAAGGGTCAGGGCGTGGAATAGTTACCTTGCTTGTGCTGTCCATGTGGCCGGAGGCGGGAACTGTTCATTTTTATTTTAGAAGTGTGCACCCGTGGCATAGGTTTTCCCAGAGCACTACGGGTTTCCTCAAGTCAAACACAAAAGGCCTCTCTACCTACATTCAAAGATGTAATGTACACAGGGGGAGACCAAGGTTCCGTGGTCCACGCATCCCTTGGACTGTAATGTTTTAGGATGGGCTGCTGATGGTCATGATTTTGCCATAAATAATTCAGATGTCTTTATTCCATTGAAGGACACAGGAATTTATTAATATTTATACATTTGGTATATACTGCTGCCTTTAGGAGGTTGGCAAACAAAAAAAAAGTTAAGTCAGCCCCTTATAACCCCACCTCCAACGATCATATCTCAGCTTTTTTGCTAGGGCCCTTGGATGCCTTTTCTTTAGCTCTGCAGAACTAGTCTTTGCTAGCCTTTTTTTTATTATTCTTAGTGTAGCACTAATACATTTTCCTTCAGTAACTTCAATCAAGGCTGCTTGAGCTGGTCTCTACACAGCAGCCATGAGGATCAGCGCATCCTCAGCAATGGATTGGGAGCCCCTACCCAAACCCTACTGGACTGGAAGAATGCAAGGCAAGCCTAGAATGTCACACTGGCCTCTGCATTTTAGGACTTTCCAGACCTTTGTGTACTGTGTTGGTTAACCACAGAGCACAGTCCAGGTCCAGAGCCATGGCACAGCTTCAAGTGGGGACCCAGTCTCTGAAGACGAAGGCTAACCTGGAATGTGACCATTTGGGCATTAAGCTCGGCATTGTGGTGCTTTCCAGACCTTTGTGAACCGTGTTAACTGAAGAGTTAAAAGCCATTAGTGCCCTCACCCTGGGTCTTGGGCACTTGTCAAGTTTTGGTTGTCCCTGCCTTGCCTAGACTTCAGTTCAGGTCTTGATCCCCTAATATACTCCAGCTCAAGGTCTAAGTTAAGTGCATGTAAGAAGCCCACGCTAAGTGCATGGAGGGGAGGTTCTGCTACAGAGAGAAGTGGTGGATGTGGACATGGGCTCAGAGTCTCCCTCCTAAGTGCAAGTCAACAGTGAAGGTGTACATTGTCATGGGGAGCTGAGAGTTTACTGGAAGACAGTTGTTGTGCATGGTTACATAGTGTACACCCACCTTATGGTTGATTTTCCCCCCTTGGCGGCCTCAGCCTTGCCCCAGAGCATTGAAGAAGATGGCAGAGAGTAAAGGTACCCCATATGTACAGTAGAGTAATCCTGTTACAGGTGCCTAGCATAACACAGAAGAACCAACCCTGGAGTAGGCCTTCCATTTGACCAACACTTGGTGCCCAACGAGGAGGGGAACATGGAGGGAGTGTCTCCCGACCTGCCCTACATACTTGTCAATATTTGGTTGGCCCTACCTTGCCTAGACTTCAGTTCAAGTCTTGATACCTTCATATACTCTATGTAGTTAGAGATCAACAGCTGTTGGACCTCCAGGGGCAATTTCCTTTTAGACATCCCAAATGTATATGCACTACGTTCCTCTCCTTGATTTCTGGAGCATGGGAAATTGGATCAGTCGTCCTCTCATGGGTGTTGCAAATAAACTTGAGGTATGTCTGCTACACCTGCACCTTGGGGGGGAAAAAACTGCCCAATATGAACATACACTCACTGGCCACTTTATTAGGTCCACCAATTCAATTGCTTGGTAACACAAATTGCTAATCAGCCAATCGTATGGCAGCAAATCAATGCATTTAGGCAACATGCTAAAGTTCAAACCAAGCGTTAGAATGGGGAAGAAAGGGGATTTAAAGTGGAATTCCATCTAAAAAAAAAAAAAAAGTCAGCATCTACAAAAACTGTAGCTGCTGACTTTTAAAATACAGCCACTTACCTGTCCCTTGATCCCACGGTGTCCTCACCACGGCTGGTTTCACCGACCGTCTTCTCTACCTGATGCCAGCATCTTCAGTGTGGGCACCCGGCTGTGGCAGCTTGTGGCTTCAAAGCCTAGTGCCCACTGAGCATGCGCCAGAAGCGCTACGCTTTGTGAATGGCCCCGTAGTATTCTGGGACCGGGTAACTGTCAAATTCGGGTACCCATTCCCTAAAGGTTTCAAACCTTAATGGAGAGTGGGGGACAAAGGCTTAAAGCGGAACTTCCCCTTTTGGGTGGAGCTCTAAGTGACTTTGAACGTGGCATGGTTGTTGGTGCCAGACGGGCAGGTCTGAGTATTTCAAAAACTGCTGAG